GGGTCTACGTAAGATAAAAGGAGGTCTGGGTAAGTTCAAGGGGGGTCTAGGTAAGGTCAAGAGGTCTACATACGATAAGAGGGTCGAGGTAAGATCAAGGGGGTCTAGGTAAGATCAAGGGGGTCTAGGTAAGATCAAGGGGGTCTAGGTAAGGTCAAAGGGGTCTAGGTAAAATCAAAGGGGTCTAGGTAAGATCAGAGGGTCTAAGACCAAGGGGTCTAGGTAAGGTCAGGGGGCTCTAGGTAAGGTCAGGGGGGTCTAGGTAAGGTCAAGAGGTCTACGTACGATAGAGGGTCGAGGTAAGATCAAGGGGGTCTAGGTAAGATCAAGGGGGTCTAGGTAAAACCACAGGGGTCTAGGTAAGATCAAGGGGGTCTAGGTTAAAATCATAGGGGTCTGGGTAAGATCAAGGGGGTCTAGGTAAGATCAAGGGGGTCTACGTAAGATCAAGGGGGGTCCAGGTAAGGTCAGGGGGGTCTAGGCAAGGTCAATAGGTCTACATAAGATAAGGGGGTCGAGGCAAGATCAAGGGAGTCTAGGTAGGATCAAGGGGGTGTTGGTAAGTTCAGGGGGTATAGGTAAGATCAGGGGATCTAGGTAAGATTAGCTACGTCTAGGTAAGATCAGTGGGTCTAGGTAAGATCAGTGGGTCTAAGTAAGATCAAGAAGGGTCTAGGTAAGATAAAAGGAGGTCTGGGTAAGTTCAAGGGGGTCTAGGTAAGATAAAAGGAGGTCTGGGTAAGTTCAAGGGGGGTCTAGGTAAGATAAAAGGAGGTCTGGGTAAGTTCAAGGGGGGTCTAGGTAAGATCAGGGGGTCTACGTAAGATCAGGGGGTCTAGGTAAGATAAAAGGAGGTCTGGGTAAGTTCAAGGGGGGTCTAGGTAAGATAAAAGGAGGTCTGGGTAAGTTCAAGGGGGGTCTAGGTAAGATAAAAGGAGGTCTGGGTAAGTTCAAGGGGGGTCTAGGTAAGATAAAAGGAGGTCTGGGTAAGTTCAAGGGGGGGTCTAGGTAAGATCAGGGGGTCTACGTAAGATCAAGAAGGGTCTAGGTAAGATAAAAGGAGGTCTGGTAAGTTCAAGGGGGGTCTAGGTAAGATAAAAGGAGGTCTGGGTAAGTTCAAGGGGGGTCTAGGTAAGATAAAAGGAGGTCTGGGTAAGTTCAAGGGGGGGTCTGGGTAAGATAAAAGGAGGTCTGGGTAAGTTCAAGGGGGGTCTAGGTAAGATAAAAGGAGGTCTGGGTAAGTTCAAGGGGGTCTAGGTAAGATAAAAGGAGGTCTGGGTAAGTTCAAGGGGGGGTCTAGGTAAGATAAAAGGAGGTCTGGGTAAGTTCAAGGGGGGTCTACGTAAGATAAGGGGGTCTAGGTAAGATAAAAGGAGGTCTAGGTAAGTTCAAGGGGGGTCTAGGTAAGTTCAAGGGGGGTCTAGGTAACATCAAGACGATGTAAACCAATATTTAACCTTGCAGTTTGGCCAAAGGCATAAAAAACGTAGAACACCCACCACTACCACTACCCAAAGCCCGAAACCCACCAAAATCCCCACGGAAACCATGTGCAATAACAGATTGCAGACAGCTACTGAAGGTCGTTGGTGGGTTCCCAGGCCTACAGTTCTACGTAATCTATGCCTTCAGGGGAGATTACTCTCCCCTGCTATATGCATTCATAATGCATATAGCAGATTCTCCAGTTCTATATCTTACCTATCCTACTTAACACAACCTAATTCTACAAGTTACTTTGATAGTAGAAACTAAATAATTGTAGACCTACAAAGTGTTATATACACCACAACTATGCAACATAATCCAGGTATAGTCCTTACTAATTTGTAGAGCAGTGGCAGCACAAAGGGGGGGGGAAGGGAGGTAAACTTTTAAGAACATTGGGTTCTATGTAAGATCAGGGAAATCTAGGCAAGGTCAGGGGGTATAAGTAAGATCAAGGGGGTGTTGGTAAGTTCAGGGGGGTATAGTTAAGATCAGGGGATCTAGGTAAGATTAGGGGGCATAGGTAAGCTGAGGGGGTCTAGGGAAGTTCAAGGGGCATAGGTAACATTAGGGTGGTCTAGGTAAGATCAGGGGATCTAGGAAAGATCAGGGGGTCTAGGAAAGATCAGGGGGTCTAGGAAAGATCAAGGGGTCTAGGAAAGATCAAGGGGTCTAGGAAAGATCAAGGGGTCTAGGAAAGATCAAGGGGGTCTAGGTAAGCTTAAATTTGTTTTAGACAAGATCAAAGGGGTCTGGGTACCATCAAAGCGGTCTAGGCAAGATCAAGGGTGGTGTAGGTAAGATCAGGGAGGTCTCGGTAAGATGTGGGGGATGTAGGTAAGATCAGGGGGGTGCAGGTAAGGTCAAGGGGGGTGTAGGTAAGATGAAGGGGGGTCTGGGTAGCATCAGAGCGGTCTAGGTATGATCAATTGGTCTAGGTAAGATCAAGGGGGATCTAGGTAATATCAGAGGGGTCTCGCTAATTTCAGTGGGTCTCGGTAAGTTCAGGGGGTCTAGGTAATATCAAGGGGCTCTAGGAAAGATCCAGGGGCACTAGGAAAGATCCAGGGGCACTAGGTAAGATCAGCGGGGACTAGGGAAGATTAAGGGGTCTAGGCAAGATCAATGGGGTCTAGGTAAGATTAGGGGGGTCTAAGCAAGATCAGAAGGTCTATGTAAGATCAATGGGGTCTAGGTAAGATCAGGTTGTCTAGGTAAGATAGGGGGTCTACGTAAGATAAGGGGGTCTACGTAAGACCAAGAAAGGTCTCGGTACTATCAAAGGGGTCTAGGTAAGATTAAGGGAGGTCTGGGTAAAATCAGGGGGGTCTAGGCAAGATTAAGGGGGTCGTAGTAAGATCAAGGGGGGTCTAGGTATGATCAGGGGGGTCTAGGTAAGATAAAAGGAGGTCTGGGTAAGTTCAAGGGGGGTCTAGGTAACATCAAGACGATGTAAACAAATATTTAACCTTGCAGTTTGGCCAAAGGCATAAAAAACGTAGAACACCCACCACTACCACTACCCAAAGCCCGAAACCCACCAAAATCCCCACGGAAACCATGTGCAATAACAGATTGCAGACAGCTACTGAAGGTCGTTGGTGGGTTCCCAGGCCTACAGTTCTATGTAATCTATGCCTTCAGGGGAGATTACTCTCCCCTGCTATATGCATTCATAATGCATATAGCAGATTCTCCAGTTCTATATCTTACCTATTCTACTTAACACAACCTAATTCTACAAGTTAATTTGATAGTAGAAACTAAATAATTGTAGACCTACAAAGTGTTATATACACCACAACTATGCAACATAATCCAGGTATAGTCCTTACTAATTTGTAGAGCAGTGGCAGCACAAAGGGGGGGGGAAGGGAGGTAAACTTAAGAACATTGGGTTCTAGGTAAGATCAGGGGGTACAGGTAAGATCAGGGGGGTCTAGGTAAGATCAGGGGGGTCTAGGTAAGATCAGAGGGGTATAGGTAAGATCAGGGGGGTTTATGTAAAATCAGAGGGATCTAGGTAAGATCAAGTGGGTCTAGGTAAGATCAATGGGGGCTAGGTAAGATCAGAGGGGAATAGGTAAGCTCAGAGGGGTCTAGGTAAGAACAGAGGGGGTCTAGGTAAGAACAGAGGGGGTCTAGGTAAGAACAGAGGGGGTCTAGGTAAGAACAGAGGGGGTCTAGGTAAGAACAGAGGGGGTCTAGGTAAGAACAGAGGGGTCTAGGTAAGAACAGAGGGGGTCTAGGTAAGAACAGAGGGGGTCTAGGTAAGATCAGAGGGGTCTACCTAAGATCAAGGTGGTGTACAAAGTCTCTAACTATATACGGTATAACCCAATTTCAGGACAAATCCCCCCCCCCGCAAGACGCTCTAATACAGACTTGAGTCGTAAGCGCTAAACCCACAAGGCTATACTACAGAAACTATTTTTGGGATTTCAAAGCATAAAATTACTTGGCCAGGTCCTCTACAACTTGGCCGGGTCCTCTACAACTTGGCCAAGTCCTCTACAACTTGGCCAGGTCCTCTACAACTTGGCCAGGTCCTCTACAACTTGGCCGGGTCCTCTACAACTTGGCCGGGTCCTCTACAACTTGGCCAGGTCCTCTACAACTTGGCCAGGTCCTCTACAACTTGGCCAGGTCCTCTACAACTTGGCCAGGTCCTCTACAACTTGGCCAGGTCCTCTACAACTTGGCCAGGTCCTCTACAACCGAGGAATTGTTATTGATTTTTTCGGCTATAATACATTCTAAGATCAATTTATCCCGCCATGTGACGCTAGAACTTTAGCTGTGTAGTTTTAGAAATAGGTTAGATAAATGAGTGGTTGAGTTGGACTTGCCTAACATGGGCCAATAGGCCTGCTTCAGTGCCCCTTTGTGTCTTAATAATGGATATGCCTGATTTAATAGGCTGTTCTTACACCTGGCATCAAGACCTCTGCCTCACCACACAACTCTCTCAGTATAATTAACCCGGTAGATTAAGATAATTACCCAATTAAGTCAGGATGACATGTGTGTCATTGCAACCCCTACCAGTAGGCCTGCTGCAGTGTTCCTCTATGTGAACAGTGCCAGTGGATATAAGGGAACATGCCCACTTGTGCCCGGGATCGGATCCCGGGTCTTCAGTTGACGTCACTACCAACTGAACCATGATACAATCACTAATACATTTCATCTCAGCTTCCTACTCTCTTGCATGATGGGTATAAGGCTACATAATAAAAATATGACGCTAGTTAAAACTTCCCATATTCTAATCAGTCTTCAATTCTAAGCTTTACAACCCATTTCTCCATTTTATATCACCATCTCATTCAAGGTAATTTACAGAATATATTCATCTATTTCCTGGCCAGAGATTTCATCTCTGGTAGGGAGATGAACTAATATTCCCCACTAAGTTACTTCTGATATGAATTGCTAATAATCTTTCCTATACTCTCCCTACCTACAATTACTATCTGCTTCAATAAACAAACTTTGGTGAACTTAAAAACCTGGATATACAAGTGGGCCCCGCCCACTTCTGGCGACGTCTCCAGCTGCTGCATCTCCATATAAATGTTACGGGTCAGATCATTTACTAGTGTGGTCGTCTCCTGCAACATTACATTCACATTATAACCATGATTATACACATTTATATATAAACATTACCACAATATAAACTAAAACATTACTCATATAAACACTAGTGTTTAACATGGTAAGCAAAGCTATCTCTAACATATATTTTTCACAAATATAACTTAACATGGAGGTCTATGTGGATCACGAGGCGCAAGTTCCTTGGATCAAGAGAACCGTCAGTAAGTTATTTTTTTTAAATAATAAATATAAATAGCCCAGAACTGATACACAATTATGGGTTATGCTAACGTGAGAGTTATGTTTGATCAGAGGAAGTGGAGCAGCTCCAGTTCCTCGCATACAAAACCCCTCCACTAGGGTCACTCCCCCCCCTCCCCCAAGACAATTAAGACTTTAAATAATTTGGTGACCAGACTGGTGGTGGGACCAGGAGCTGCAGCTCAACCTGCTGTTGCACTGAAAAATACGTCACCAGAAAATACTTACGTATTTATGTGTATTAAAGGGACAGAGAAGCGGTAAAGCCGGCGGGGCGGCAGGAAGGAGAGGCAACACGTCTCTCCTGAACGACCATTGGAGTTCAAAATGACCTTTAGGGGCCTTGAGGTTGGTCACTGTCCGACCTTCACTATAACACCATCACTGATAACCTAAATTAACTCTGGCTACCACCACTAGATGGTGCTGCTACACCACCACTACCACCACTAGATGGCATAGTACATCACCACCAGCTGCTGCTACTGTAACACCAGTAGCTCTACTGTACCCCAGTAGCTGCTACTGTAACCACAGCTGCTGCTACTTGTACCACAGCTGCTGCTAACGTAACCACAGCTGCTGCTACTGTAACTCACAGCTGCTGCTACTGTAACCCCAGTAGCTGCTATTGTAAGTAACCACAGCTGCTGCTACGTAACACCAGTACTGCTACTGTAACCCCCAGTAGCTGCTACTGTAACCAACAGCTGCTGCTACTGTAACCACAGCTGCTGCTACTGTAACCACAGCTGCTGCACTGTAACCCCAGTAGCTGCTACTGTACCACCAAGTGCTGCTACATGTAACCACAGCTGCTGCTACTGTAACCCCAGTAGCTGCTATTGTAAGTAACCACAGCTGCTGCTGCTTTAACCACAGCTGCTGCTGCTTTAACACACAGCTGCTGCTACTGTAACCACAGCTGTTGCTACTGTAACCCCAGTAGCTGCTATTGTAAGTAACCACAGCTGCTGCTACTGTAACCACAGCTGCTGCTACTGTAACCCCAGTAGCTGCTACTGTAACCACAGCTGCTGCTACTGTAACCACAGCTGCTGCTTCTGTAACCACAGCTGCTGCTACTGTAACCCCAGTAGCTGCTACTGTAACCCCAGTAGCTGCTACTGTAAGTAACTACAGCAGCTGCTACTGTAAGTAACCACAGCTGCTACTGTAAGTAACCACAGCAGCTGCTACTGTAAGTAACCACAGTAGCTGGTACATAAGTAACCACAGCTACTGCTAGGGGAAGAGTGCACCACAGGTACCAGACATTATACACATAACAAGACAGAGGTAAAGAAAGCTTTGATGGAGCTTGATAAGAGATCCAAGCATGGAAGGCTGACCAGTGTCACCATAGATTGTGAGAGAAGCAGCAGCAGCACTGTGTCATCCACTAGCTGAAGGCAGCAGCACTGTGTCATCCACAACAAGACTATGAAACCACTGGACAGTTACCAAAGATCTGGAAGACAGTGAACACTGGACGGTTAACCAGAGATCTGGAAGAACAGGAACACTGGACAGTTACCAGAGATCTGGAAGACATGAACACTGTACGGTTACCAGAGACTGGAAGACAATGAACACTGGACAGTTACCAGAGATCTGGAAGACAATGAACACTGGACAGTTACCAGAGATCTGGAAGACAATGAACACTGGACGTTTACCAGAGATCTGGAAGACAATGAACACTGACAGTTTACCAGAGATCTGGAAACAATGAACACTGGACAGTTTACCAGAGATCTGGAAGACAGTGAACACTGGACGGATACCAAGATCTGGAAGACAGGGAACACTGAACAGTTACCAAGATCTGAAGACAAGTGAACACTGGACAGTTTACCAGAGATCTGGAAGACAGTGAACACTGGACGGTTACCAGAGATCTGGAAGACAGGAACACTGAACAGCTACCAAGATCTGGAAGACAGTGAACACTGACGGTTACCAGAGATCTGGAAGACAGGAACACTGAACAGTTACCAGAGATCTGGAAGACAGTGAACACTGGACGGTTACCAGAGATCTGGAAGACAGTGAACACTGGACAGTTACCAGAGATCTGGAAGACAGTGAACACTGGACGGTTACCAGAGATCTGGAAGACAGTGAAACACTGGACAGTTACCAGAGATCTGGAAGACAGTGAACACTGGACAGTTACCAGAGATCTGGAAGACAGTGAACACTGGACAGTTACCAGAGATCTGGAAGACAATGAACACTGAGAGTTTACCAGAGATCTGGAAGACAGTGAACACTGTACAGTTACCAGAGATCTTGGAAGACTGACGGTAGTCCTTATATTCAAGAAAGCAGACAGACAGGAAGTGTTAAACTACAGACCAGTCTGACTGACTTGTAAATCATGTAAACAACTGTAGTCATGTGTACTATGTAAGATAATGTAGTTGATAGTCAATATAGTAGTAGGATACTTATTAGGGGTTTACAGGTCACAAATATTGTCTCCCAACACAGTGGAAATCAACTTCAAATTGACAGAAGCGAGACAGGAGAGAGAGTTGATTTGCATAATCTTGGAATTCAAGAAAGCATTTGATATTGTACCACTGCCACAAGACAGGCCAGGAGCTGTGTCGACCCCTGCAGCCACACACACACACACACACCTTCTCAACACCTCCCCATCTTTCACCCTTGTAAGGCCTCACAGGGACTTCATTAAACGTTTTTACAGCTGGAGCCTTTGCCTGGCTGACTCTGATACGTTAGCAACGTTCCTCAAACGTTCCCTGAGGCGGCGAACGTTTGTCTCGCCTCGATTGAACTTATTAAGGAGTGTAAAGATCCCAGGAGAGTGAAGTACAGCAGAAATTGGACAAGGAGGGAGAGGGACGCAAGGGACGGGAGGCAGTCTACCTGTCTGACCCCCCCTGTCTAACACACGTGTACAAGAGTGTCTGTAAAGGGAGGTCTACCTGCCGGGTGTCTAACTATTTGGAGGCTACCTATCTGCAGTCTACCTGTCTGTAGTCTACCTGCCGGGTGTTTACCTATCAGGAGTCTATCTGCCTGGAGTCTACCTACCTGAAGTCTACCTACATAGAGTCTACTTGCCTGGAGTCTACCTGCCTGGAGGCTATCTACCTGGAGTCTACCTGCCTGGAGTCTACCTGCCGGGTGTTTACATACCAGGAGTCCATCTGCCTGGAGTCTACCTGCATGGAGTCTACCTACGTTGAGTCTACCTACCTGAAGTCTACCTACATAGAGTCTACTTGCCTGGAGTCTACCTGCCTGGAGGCTCCCTACCTGGAGTCTACCTGCCTGGAGTCTACCTACGTTGAATCTACCTACCTGAAGTCTACCTACCTAGAGTCTACTTCCCTGGAGTCTATCTGTCTGGAGTCTGCCTGGTTCTGGTAGACGACCTGATCAACCAGGCTGTTGCTGCTGGGTAACAGGAGGAATCTCGACCCAAGAAAAATTAAATGTCTTGGCCTTCAAGATGGCTGCTCTAAAAGGCTCCTGATCCGAGGCACTGGAGTCTTCTCTCCCTCACCCAGGAAGGGAATTCAACACCATACCTCACCTAGGAAGAGGGTACAACACCATTCCTCACCTGGGGGTTCCAACACCGTTCCTCACCTACGAAGAGGATCCAACACCATTCCTCACCTAGGAAAGGGATCCAACACCATTCCTCACCTAGGAAGGGGATCCAACACCATTCCTCACCTAAGAAGGGGATCCAATACCATTCCTCACCTAGGAAGAGGATCCAACACCATTCCTCACCTAGGGGATCCAACACCATTGTTTACCTAGGAAAGGTATCCAACACCATTGCTCACCTAGGAAAGGGATCCAACACCAGTCCTCACCTAGGAAGGGGATCCAACACCATTCCTCACCTAGGAAGGGGATCCAACACCATTTCTCACCTAGGAAGGGGATCCAACACCATTCCTCACCTAGGAAGGGGATCCAACACCATTCCTCACCTAGGGGATCCAACACCATTGTTCACCTAGGAAAGGGATCCAACACCATTGCTCACCTAGGAAAGGGATCCAACACCAGTCCTCACCTAGGAAGGGGATCCAACACCATTCCTCACCTAGGAAGGGGATTCAACACCATTTCCTCACCTAGGAAGGGAATCCAACACCATTCCTCACCTAGGAAGGGGATTCAACACCATTCTCACCTAGGAAGGGGATCCAACACCATTTCTCACCTAGGAAGGGGATCCAACACAATTCCTCACCTAGAAGGGATCCAACACTATTTCTCACCTAGGGGATCCAACACAATTCCTCACCTAGGAAAGGGATCCAACACCAGTCCTCACCTAGAAAGGGGATCCAACACCATTCCTCACCTAGGAAGGGGATCCAACACCATTCCTCACCTAGGAAGGGGATCCAACACCATTCCTCACCTAGGAAGGGGATCCAAAACCATTCCTCACCTAGGAAGGGGATCCAACACTATTCTTACCTAGGAAAGGGATCCAAACACCATCCTCACCTGGGGGATCCAATACCATTCCTCACTTAGGGGATCCAACATCATTCCTCATCTTGGAAGGGGATCCAACACCATTCTTCACCTAGGAAAGGGATCGAACACCATTCCTCACCTAGGAAGGGAATCCAACACCATTCCTCAACTAGGAAGGGGATCCAACACCATTTCTAACTTAGGAAGGGGATCCAACACCATTCCTCACCTAGGAAGGGGATCTAACACCATTCCTCAG